CTCTACATTCAAGAACAAGTTTCAGAAACTCTTCTGACATACACTTTGATCTTTTCCTTCTTGTTTTACTAATAACCTTTTGCTTTCTTCATGTATGTTTTTGATATCATCTCACAGCTCATCATGCCTTCTGGCATGAGTATTCACAGTGTTATATCTGTGCTTGGGATGTTCTAGAAATTCAGGTGGGATATACTTCAATTGTTGTAATTTGGATTTCATGGGCATAATTTTTTTTCAACTTAATTAAATATGAGCAATTGATGGTCTGTACTACAGTTTGCCCCAGCCAGATTTGGGATGCTGCTAATTGAGATTCTCCATGATCTAGTCCCACAGATGTAGTCAACTGACTCCTCTGTATTCCATCTAGTGAGGTCCACATGTGCAGTCATCCTTTATATTGTTGAAAAAATTGACAGTTACAATGAAGACGTTGGTCTTGAAAATTTCTATCTTGTTTTCCAGCTTCCTCTTTGCTTCTAACGTTTGTAATCCAATTGCCAATAACTATCAATGTATCCAGATTGCATGTTTGATCCACTTGAGACAGAAGTTGGTAGAATTCTTCAATTGTTTCATTAACTTTAGTGATTAATAGTTGTAGTAGTAAATGGTGATTCTTGTAGGCATATAGATATTATCTTATCACAGACAGCAGTGTACTTCTAGAATGATTTTGAAATGTTCTTTTGATGATGAAGATGTCGCCATTATTCTTGAGTTTGCCATTCCTGACATAGTAAACCATGATTATCCAACTCAAAATGGCCAATACCTGTCCATTTCACCTAATGCCTAGCATCTCAATCTTTGTGTTTCATTTCATTTTTCACAAGTTTAAATTTCCCTAGATTCATACTTTAATATTGGTGGCATAGTTCTGTACATCATAGCAACACACAAGCCATCACAGTACTGCAAAGTTGTAGATAATAGGGTTAGAAAGATGGAATTACTGTCTTCAGAAGTATATAGACCTAAATGGAAGATATGTTCAGAAGTAAATTCAGTTTGATACTGCTAAGAAATGTTTCTCTAATTTTGTAGCAGGTTTTTTTGCTTGAAAAATGATTTAGTAAGAAAATATTTTTCCAAAATGATCTAGAAATTTATATGGATTGTCCCTTGTATGAATATGTAATATTGTAATATAAAAGTAAATTATAACTAAATGCCCATTTCTTGTTATTTCTAGTGAGTGAATGAATAATCCTGTTTTGTTTTCACTTCAAACTATTTTATTTTATTGTATAGAACCACTTTAATATGATGGGTTTAAGAGAAAAGCTTTGGAGATTTAATTATGACCCCATAAACAACTGAGACTTTGGGGTAATTTTTACTAAAAATTACTACTCCTAATTACTGCTTCATGACCACAGTAACCCAAAGGCCTAGAGGCCACCTCCAACTATATGTAAACAAAATAGCTTAAAATGACTTACTGGGGAAATTGTTGTCCTGAAATATTTCTTAACTTCCTTGAAACTGGATATTGTGAAGTATGTGGCATCAGGATTGGAGGAAGGCCTATTGACCTGTGGCATGCAGATGACACCACCACCTTGCTTGCTGAAAATGAGAAGGAATTGAAGCAATTGCTGATGAAGATCAAGGATTGTGGCCTTCAGTATGAATTTCAACTCAATGTAAGGATGACCAAAATCCTAACAAGTGGACCATTCAGTAACATCATGATAAATGGAGAAAAGGCTGAAGTCATCAAGGATTTTGTCTTACTTGGATCCACAATCAAAGTTCATGGAAGAAGCAGTCAAGGGAACAAAAGACGTATTGCATTAGGTAAATCTGCTGCACAAGACCTCTTTAAAGTATTAAAGAACAAGGATGTTACTTTGAGGACTAAGGTGTGCATGACCCAAGCCATGGTATTCTCCATTGCATCATATGCCATTTGAAAGTTGAACATTAAATATGGAAGACTGCAGAAAAATAGATGTATTTGAATTGCTGGAGAAAAATATTGAAAATACCACAGACAGCTAAAAGGACAAACCAATCTGTATTGGAAGAAGCAAGGCCAGAGAGCTCCTTAGAGGCAAGGATGGCAGGACTTCGTCTTATATAATTTGGACATGTTGTCAGGAGAGACCAGTCCCTGCAGAAGGACATCATGTTTGGTAAAGTGGCAGGGTAGTGACAATGAGGAAGGCCCTCAATAAGATGGAGTGACACAGAAGCTGCATCAACGGGCCCAGGCATAGGAATGGCTGTGAGGATGGTGCAGGGCTGTGCAGTGTTTCATTCTATTGTGCACAGGGGCGACCTGGATTGGAGCCGTCTCAATGGCACTTAACAACTCTTTTTTTACTAAATGCCCAGAATCACTATCACAGAATCACTCATTAAGAACCCTGCTATTCAGAGTACAAAATGAGTATCTCGATCGGACTATAATCATCCTTGATTATACAATTAAGATCACCTCTTTTCATCAGCATATTTGAAAACACATGAGTGGCTTCAAAATGTCAATGTTGACTCCACAACACACAGGAACATATGTGCTGTACAAGTTGTCCTCAAACTGACCGGCAGCTACCAAACACATGAAATCAAATTTAGATGTGAAAATATTAGTTTTAAAAAGTGACCATATAACATTTTATTGATCATTTCTAGGATAAAATTAATTTTATTTCTTGAGTTCCTCCTTATTACTATGTCAAGATGAAAAGAACTCATTAAATTACTGAAAAGGAAGAGAGAACCTCATAATCAAGTAATTCTGAACTGTCAACAAAAATTAGAGTCCTGATAATCTAAAGAGTATACACATGTAATCCTCTTTTTCCCCTAAAGGTATTTAATAAAGTGGGTAATGCCACACACACACACACACACACACACACACACACGGTATGCAGTTATTCATATGCAAAAACCCCATTGACTCATTTCTCTGCATAATTTAGGATACTTAAAATAGTGCATTTAAGATGGAAATGAAAATTACTATTAACTTCCTAAACTTTTAAAGATATTTCTAGTACAGCAACTCTCAAGCTACATCAAGGCTTATAAGTCTTAAAATAAAAATGTATACATGTAAGTGTATACAAAAGCAGTATCTGATTTTGCAAGACAAAAATCTAATCACGAGATAAGGGGTCAGCAAATTTTTGAGATGGAAGAGCCAACACTACCTCTCACAACAATTTAATAATACTTTGAGAGCTGTAAGTCAGTGTATCTTTATAGACAAATGAATCACCATTGTCGGAATAATATCCTTAAAAATTTTTCAATTTTACTTCAGAGCCACATGAACGTATTGAAAGAGCCGCACATGGGGCCGGCCCCAAACCCAGCTACATGGACACCCTCCACAGAATGCATTACAGAGGACAGCACTGAAGATACAGCTCAGGGAGAGGGGCAAAGTAAGAGGAAAGGGGAGAGAGAGAGAGAGAGAGCGAGAGAGCGCGAGAGAGCACATCATATCCTGGCCCACCAAGCCCTGAGGACGATAATACTGCTTGGAGCAGCCAATGCACAGAGAGGACTGTAGGGCTGGCCCCACATAGTCAAGAAAGCTGAATGAAGGTTGAACATGATAGTGGGACAGAAGGAAAGTAAAAGGAAAGAATTAGGAGGCAAAGGACATTTATAGAGGTATAAATACAGGCATGTACATATGTAAATATATTTATATTTAATTATATTTAACGTTAGGGACATATGGCTATGTACATATGTTAAATATTAAGGTAGCAGATGCACATTGGGCCTCTACCCAAGTACTTCCTCAATGCAAGAACACTTTGTTGGCATTCTATGATGCCAACCTGCCTGATATGACTGCAGAAGTCAAAATAAGTACATAAGGAAATGTGAAGAAAACTGATGGTGCCCAGCTATTAAAGATATAGGGTCTGGGGTCTTAAAGGCTTGAAGATAAACAAGTGGCCATCTA